ATGCCTCGCAGCACATGTGCATAAACTTTCTTTATGACGTTCCCAATTTGTAACTGAATGTTTACGCGACCCAAAGTTTGAGTGCTTGATGCAACTTGCTGGACCATGATGCTGGAGTCTCGCATCAACTGAAGATTTAGCTGTTTGTGCACATCCTCGCTGATACAAGTAATTGTTGCTCCTGTATCGAGAATTGCATTTACTGGCTTTCCGTTGATGAGAGCGCTGAAGTGTATTAATGAAACTCTGGGTTGCCCTCCTCGTTTCCCCGTTCAGTATCAATAGCGGACACATTGCCGCGGCGCGGACATTCGTTGTGCCAGTGAAACTGTCGTGGGAAACCAGCAGCTGAGCAGTATCTACATTCGTTTTGCGGGGCACGCGGTTGAGGAGTTGTTGTTGGTTGCTGCGGTCTGCTGAAGAGACGTGGAGCTCTTGATGCGATACTAGCGTTACGAGTACAGAAAACTCCTCTCACCGGTTTCAAAGATGTCTCGACCCGTTGAGCAGCGGTGAGCCACTCTAATGACGAGTTGAAAGACAGTCCGGCGAGCGCCAGTTCCACATCAGGAGGAACGCCATCATTCAGTCCAGAAATGATGTGGCTCTCTTTAAGGTCAGCCAAGGAACCCAGTCGCTTTTTCTCGTCGTAGTAGTCCTTGATGGCCTGCCCTCTTTTCAGTCGGTAGTGAATGAAGAGACGGAAGGCATCTCCGTCAGTCATAGCAAAGCGAGCTTGCATGGCACGCTTGACATCGTCCCAAGTTGTCTCGCCGTTGCCGAAAATCTCTGTCAGGTACCACTTGAACGCTTCCCCTTCAATGTATTCGCTGAAGTGACTGACCCGATTGCGGTGAGTCCATGACGCCTCGGCTGCCTTCATGTCGAAAAGAAGAAGCCACTTGTCGATGGGAACGTCTTCTGGTGTTCCCTTGAACTTCTGTATGTTGAGCGGAGGCTTTGGCTTAGCCATGGCACGTTGATGAGGTTGATCCTGTCGGCTTGTGTGACGCTACAAAATGGAGACACGTCGTGGTCCAGGTGCCATGCGTTTATTCTAATGCACGCCCACTTCCTCTTCGTCAGCTTCTCCTAAAATCGCCTTGTTAATGCGTCACACATATATATATATATATATATATATATATATATATATATACTGAAGTTTTTTAATGGGCCAAACGTACTTCAGAAGACACAACTTAGTGGTTGTCTTAATTTCATTTCCGACGGTTTGGACCAGTCCACCGGTCGAATAATTTGTTTAAGTTTATTTTTATAATTTTTAATTATTATTTTATCAATATTATTATTTCTCAATATGCTCAACAGAGGTGCCCAATAGTTATTGGGGGAATGGACCAACCGAACATTTTTCCATGTTCTATTCATATATGTATCTTTGTTGTGTGATTTTTCATTTATTACCTTTATTAATATCTTTATTATTATTTCATTTTTGCGTTACTTTTTGTCTGTTTGCATTTCTCAGAGTTTCCAGATTTGTGCACATATCTCTCACACAATATCACTCATTCCATTATGTTTGCTATTTGTTCCATTTTCACCTTTCTTTATATTTTTTGCCATCCCGTTTTGTTTTGCCATCCCGTTTAACTTATGTTTACCTTATTATCTGTAAGTGGAGAGCCCAACCAGTGCCAGCCGATTTCAATCACAGGCGCTTCAGGGAGTGGTACTAAAAGGCTGGATACACGCACGCAGTCATATTGACAACATGTGCCTTCTGGCCCTGGATGTCAGCTTTACTTTCCAAACGGCCTTTTGTGCTTTCAGCGAATGAGACGAAGATAACTGTTTGGCACAGCATATGTCACTACTGTAAAACACCACTTTGTCACTCTCTCTCATTTCCTTCTTGCACCACCATGTCGATGCAGCATGTTCGCATAGCGTCGAACTTGTTCACAAACCCTGACAAAGACCGGTCCATTAGTCAAAACAGTTGGTAATAAAATTAATACAACCGCTAGGTTGTGTTTCCTCTCTTTCCACGTATATATATATATATATATATATATATATATATATATATATATATATATATATATATATAAGTGGAAGAGGTGTATACCTAAGGGCTCGTTTTTCCGTGTTTTGACACAATATTAATGAGATCTAACAGACAATGATGCCAAGGAATGTATAGGGGAAGTTATTAGAACCAATGTAATGTAAATAAGAAGAAAGAAAAGTGGGTGAAAAGATAACCGTTAGGCTGTATACGAGGGACTATTGGTCAGCTGCCCGCTCGTAATAAGCTCACGAGCTACGTGACGACACACAGGCTCATAAAAGGGTGTTCCACACTCACCGCTTGGCTACAGATGGCGGCGACTGACTATCCCGCGTTTAAATTCACGTATAAACCCAAAAAAGTGGATGGGGGGATGGCCGCCGTGGTAGCTCAATGGTTAGAGCATCGAACGCGTTATTCGAAGGTCATAGGTTCGATTCCTGCTCACGGCAGGTTATCTTTTCACCCACTTTTCTTTCTTCTTATTTACATTACATTGGTTCTAATAACTTCCCCTATACATTCCTTGGCATTATTGTCTGTTAGATCTCATATATATATATATTATAATATATATATTGTGACGACGCGAGATTGACGAGCACACAAAGCGCCTCAAACAAATACGATTTATCGATCGCAGGAAACAGACCGCAACGACTTCTTCGTCTTTTGCCCTCGGCCAAGGACACTCGCGCTGCTTCGTTGTCCTCACCACTGGCACGTACGCGTGGCAATATATATATATATATATATATATATATATATATATATATATATATATATATATATATATATATATATATATATACATATATATATATATATATATATATATATATATATATACATTCTTATTTACATTACATTGGTTCTAATAACTTCTATACATTCCTTGTCATTATTGTCTGTTAGATCTTATTAATATTGTGTCAAAACAGAAAAACGAGCCTTTACGTATACACTTCTTTCCCTTCTATATATATACACACACACACACACAGAGAGAGAGAAAAATCTTGAAAGTCATTAAATGTTTTCCATTTTATCTATCGATTCAGATGCTTATGGTGCATATGTGAGACATATATTTGGTACTTCAGATTCTTGTTAATAAGTAATCATCATAGCCAGATTTTAGCTAGTTTTCAACATTCCACTGTTCATGTGCAGAAAGAAGAGTCATAATGAGACGACAAACAAGGTGCAGAAAACTATTTTGTTATCCATCTCCTTTGAACTTGAAGGCTGTTGGCTGCAACGAAACTGGTTGCAGTGGTGTCTTAAACTCTACCAGTGAGTAAAATTTTAAAGGCCTTGATTAAAAAAAACAGTTTTCACGATGCATGTACAGGCATAAATGACAAGTATGCACACTACATACTGGATTGGCAGAATTGACGGTGCACAGCAGTTTCACGCACTGTTCCGTGCATTTTCGGCCAAGAGCAGCGCCACTGCTTCAGTCACTCCACTGTAGTACATTGTAATGAAACTAGCTCATGTAATTCCTCTCAAGAATGTGCCCCACATTGTGACGACGACATTCTGCAAACATGGTGTTGGTTTGGTGCTCAACTAGAAGAAAGTAAAGCATTGCCAAGCGTGTGTGATATGTGCAGCACAGTCACAGCCAAAGCTGAAAAAGTGTCCTTTCTAGAGAATTTTTGTAAACTATTCTGGGGCAACTAGGTCATGCAAGTACACTTGCAATGTGCACAACTATGCCATAAATCACAGCTTTGGCAAAGCTGGGAAGCACTCACTGCACCATCATTGCACAGCATTGTGTGTGCTATGGGTGGATGATGACTGTGAATTGTACGGGTTCAAAGCTTTAAAGAACCCACCAGTTGTACAATCTGCATTGTGTGGTGCCTGCTTATTATTTTGCTCTTCTTCCATGCTATATTGCAGATGTCAACGCGATTTGTTTCCCAACATGAAGCAGTCTTTTTTGCAAAGGAGTTTGAAGCACCGGCATAGCTCTCCCGTAAAATACTACTTGGCAGAGGGCCCAGGTTTGAATCCCATTTTATATTCCAAATATGTTTGCCTCATCGCATTTTTTTTCGACAATAGTGGTTACAAACACCTGCAGTGAACAGTTACGGCACCAAATACCAATGATGTAATCTGATGGCAGCTTTCTCTGTCTAGCTGTTTGCACACTCATTTCATAAGAAAAAGTGGTGTTCATTGAACCCAAGTTACTACCAGGGCTACATTCGTAGCAGAAAGTGCTGGATAAAATGAATTCAAACAGTATTTATAAGATTGCCCACAATTTGCGATTTCCATCCATAAGAAACTAGGAAAAATGTGCAGCAGAGAATAAAGCCAAAGCGTGGAACAGTGAGAAAAAGCGCAAGGCCATTTTCAGAGAAAGATCCACATTTCATAGAGGACTACTGCAAGCCTAGTATGAATTTCAAATTTATGTACGAGTGTCAATTCCCAGAACTACTTTGTTCACATTACACAAAGCTAGTTTCATGGTCTCTGTAAAAATAAATTTTGCCCTAGGTTCAGATTTAGAACTTGTCGCTTCCTTTTTGAGCCCTTTGAAGGGGTGCAATTGTAGCAGCACAAATTTCGGCAAGCAATATATAAATTTCTTTCTGTAGAAGGGTGAAAGCGCATAGGAGGAAGACCGAGAAGGGACGAATGATGTCATCTTATGTGCTTTTCACCCTGTCAAACCAACAAGACTAAGCCACCCTTGCAAACTTCATTTCTACAGAAGCTGCCAAGGTACATAAAAAATGGTTCTATAAAAGCCCCATCCTAGCTATAGTTTAGAACAAACAGCTTTCTTGTATTCTCGGAACAGTGACAGCCATAGTCACAAGAGTGTTTTATTGCAAGCGAGAGGCACCCCGATGAAGAAGAGCAGCAGACAGAGAGGAGGAGGCGCATGCTCAGAGGAAGGACTGGGAGGATCGGTGGCGCGGGGCATTACCGGCCCTCGAGGACGCCTCGCTGCCCAGGGTAGAGCCGCTCTGCGAGGCTCCCAGCATCTGCAGCCGTGCACACTCGGGAAGCTCCCCTTCTCCCAGAAAGGGCGTCTCGGTGCCCGTCGTGCCCATCACCAGCACATTGCGCTTCAGGTCAATCAGGCACTGAAACAAACAACAGGGTTCGGAAGGAGGGTCGCACTTACAAGCACTCATGTACAGCTTGTGTGATATTTATTCTGCTATTTATTCTGCTTCACTTCAAAATAAAATTTTAGTTGCAAGTCAGTGTTTCTGTCTGTCGCCCTGTTTGTTGGACTCTCACTTCATCATCATCAGCCTGACTACGTCCACTGCAGGACCAAGGCCTCTCCCATGTTCCGCCAGTTAACCCGATCCTGTGCTTGCTGCTGCCAATTTATACCCGCAAACTTCTTAATCTCATCTGCCCACCTAACCTTCTGTCTCCCCCTAACTCACTTGCCTTCTCTGGGAATCCAGTCAGTTACCCTTAATGACCAGCGGTTATCCTGTCTACTCGCTACATGCCCGGCCCATGTCCATTTCCTCTTCTTGATTTCAACTATGATATCCTTAACCCCCATTTGTTCCCTAATCCACTCTACTCTCTTCTAGTTTCTTAACGTTACACCTACCATTTTTCTTTCTATTGCTCGCTGCGTTGTCCTCAATCTAAGCTGAACCCTCTTTGTAAGTCTCCAGATTTCTGCTCCGTAGCTAAGTACCGGCAACATACAGCTGTTATATACCCTCCTCTTGAGGGATAGTGGTAATCTACCTGTCATAATTTGAGAGTGCTTGCCAAATCCGCTCCACCCCATTCTTATTCTTCTACTTACTTCAATCTCGTGGTTCGGCTCTGCAGTTATTACCTGCCCTAAGTAGACATAGTCTTTTACAACTTGAAGTGCACTATTACCTATCTCGAAGCGCTGCTCTTTTCCGAGGTTGTTGTAATTACTTTCGTTTTCTACAGATTAACTTTAAGACCCACCTTTCTGCTTTCCTTGTCTAACTTCGTAATCATGAGTTGCAATTCGTCCCCTGAGTTACTCAGCAATGCAATGTCATCGGCGAAGCGCAGGTTACTAAGGTACTCTCCATTAACTCTTATCCCCAACTGTTCCCATTCTACGCTTCTGAAAACCTCCTGTAAGCACACGGTAAATATCATTCGGGAGATTGTGCCCCCCTGCCTTACACCCTTCTTGATTGGTATTCTGTTGCTTTCTTTATGAAGCACTATGGTAGCAGTTGATCCCCTGTAGATTTATTCCAGGATGTTTATATATATTTCATCGACGCCCTAATTCTGCAGTGTCTGCATGACGGCTGATATTTCTATTGAATCAAACGCCTTCTCGTAATCTATGAAGGCTATGTATAGTGGTTGGTTATATTCTGAGCATTTTTTATTACCTGATTGATAGTATGAATGTCACTTCATATGTGACACCAATCTAGTGGCATGCTCTTCTACTCCTTCCAAAAGTTACTTTTCTCTTTCTCCTTCATCAGGGGAGCAACTTCTGAAACAAGATTTGGAACAATTTTCGGAGCCACAAAATATTCCTATTGCAACACTTGAGTGCACATTTGGGGCAGGTTAAGGAGAAGAATTCAATTTTTTAGCACGAAATCCCATTTGTAGCAGCATAACAAAGGCCTACCTTCAGAAAAGAAAACAAAAATGTGTGCAAACCATGCAACATCAGCTACTCTGCTATATCAATAAAAAGCAAAGTGTTCAACCACTCCACAGCGTGAACAATGACAAAGTCCACGTTACCATTTGCAATGCCTGTCAAATCATTCGACAGGCGCTGCAAATGCTAAAGTGTACCAGTTAACCTGGCAACTTCTAAATTCCAGAGATATGCAGCCAGAGTGGTGGTGAAAAGAGAAAACTGGGGCAAGTTCTTGTTCTTCATTTCTCAATGCCGCTGAAGTGTCATGAACAGCTCCATATTCTCGCCTGTAAAATTTTTAGATGCCAGCAAGCATACTAGTACTCATGAATATAAAGCGTATGCACGCACGATCAAAGAACGAAATGTTCCATGTGGCGTGAATACTAATAGCCCCTTCTGAAACATAGGATGCTTTTCTGCACGACACCAGTGTACTGCGGCTAAAGTGGCTTAAAAACTTCTGAACGCATTAGAACAAGCCCACAAAACTTTACCACCCCCCCCCCCCTCCCCTTCTTTTTTGGTGGGTCAGGGTTACATTCTGAGCATATGAATTTCGAGGTGGGGGGGGGGGGGGGGGTCAGCAACTTTTTCAGGCGGAGAGCAATGATTGCATGAATGAAGCCAGTCCGAAGGGAAGTGGGGCGGGGGGGGGGGGTAGCTTCAGATAAGAAATGACAAGCAAAGAGGTGGAAAGGGCGGGGGGAGGGGGGGGGATTCATAACATTGTCATGTGCCCTACAGTCCACAGGTTGTTGCCCCCTGGTTTAGATGATGCCCAAGCTGCAAGTGGCCAATCTGGCCTGCATTTCCAGCTAAAATTAGCGCAACTGAGAAAACTGGCTGCTCACATTTCAGCTCTGAGTGGTGCAACTTTAAAAAAGCATCATGGTTTTGTGCAAAAATAAGGAGTTTTATTGATTGCTTGATAGATATGTTGGGTTTAACGTCCCAAAACCACCATATGATTATGAGAGACGCCGTAGTGGAGGGCTCCGGAAATTTCGACCACCTGGGGTTCTTTAACGTGCACCGAAATCTGAGCACACGGGCCTACAACATTTCCGCCTTCATCGGAAATGCAGCCGCCGCAGCCGGGATTCGAACCCGCGACCTGCGGGTCAGCAGCCAAGTACCTTAGCCACTAGACCACTGCGGCGGGTGGAGTTTTATTAAGTTGGCACAACTGGCGCTGCTGTTGTACTCTTGCTTCATGCTGCCTTTCATACACAGTAAAAGGTTGTTGTTTGGATTTCACGGGGCCAGAAAAAAATGTCCCAATTCACTGAATTCCAAATTATCAAAAGCATCTGGAAAAAAAATGTCATTGCATCAAGTCACTTCCATTTTCTTGCAGAATAAATAGATGATGTACTTCTTTTGTATAAAAGAAGCACATAAAAGCCGCAATGCTTGTCATTTGGAGTCTTCTTTTACCCCAATGTCTTAATTAGCTCAAAACATATTCTACACTTTCACCTTATCAAGTATTACCACCATGTATACATGACGGTGCTCCTTTTTCGTTGATAAATGAAAGAAATTTGCCACTACCACCGAAGCCTTGATCACCAATACACTTGTACATGGCAACCACTTTTTTTTTTTGAATGCCTGCAACCAATGAGGTGTCACACGCACTGGCAAGTGCAAAGAGACACAAAGCTTTCTAGTTATCCTGTCTTTATTGCTGGGTTCGCAGTAATGTCAATCGCAACGCAGTGCCTCGTTTCAGTTAGCCACAAACATCATTTTTGTTCTCTTGCACCGCTTTTCATTCAGTGTGCTCCCAGAATTGTCCAAATAAACTGAGTTGCAGTCAAATATTACCAAATCAGTGTGTTTGACACCAGTAAACAATGTACAGCTGGCCAGGATCAGAGAATACACCCAAATCGTCAATTTTTCCAAATTCACGAGGATAGAGTAACTGTGCGTAAGCACTCCATGCTACTGGTGTTAGGCGTGTCAATGCAACAAGGTGGTCTCTTTTTTTTTTTAGTATTTAATGCAGTCCGTAGGCATAGCAGGAAAGGCGAGAAAAGGGAAGCCAGTGAAAACAAAGTTAACAGGTTATACAGCGAGTTTTTTTAACTATTTGACGCTACAACTGAAAAACAAGTACATGCTAAGTAGGGTGAATTAAATATACACTTCTAGAAAAAGAAGTGCACACATTTCTTGAAAGTAAGTGAAAAGTCGTAGTCAGGAATGCCTTGTTCAGGAAAAGCATATAAATAAGGAGTGTTTGAAAAGGTTAGTATAGAGGTATTCACAAGGAGAGGTATTCACAAGGAGGCAAAGAAGTTGAAGAGGGCTCACCTGGTGCCTCTTGAGCATGTCAAGGCCGAGGAGCATGTCCATGGGCTGCTCCTCCAACACCGAGAAGGACGATGTCAGGAACACACCTTCAATCTCAATCTGCACTGCGCTCCAGGAGAAACAGTGTCATATTGCAAGAAACTTCTCTTGAATCTGTGCTTGCACATCAGTACAGGGACTATGACAGCCCCAACACAGCTGAGACGACGGCAAAGCAGTGTCAAAAATGCGCAACAACCCACACATAAATAAGAGCGGTTCGCCCATCTCGAAAGACACATTCCTGTAATGGAAGTGCAGGGATCAAGTGCAGTCAATCAAAGACAATTCGTCGACAAAGCAAAAAACTTTTCACACATTTTTTTTTTTTTTTTTGTCTTCTAGCATTGTAACAAGCTAATGCTAGATAGAAACAAATGACTAACAATAGGTGCCATACAGTCGAACCCATTTATCTCGAACTATACTGTATATCAAACAACTTCTGAATACAGTATAGTGACCGTGAGAATATAATAGTGAATATTACTATTACATCAAACAAGAATAGCAGTGACTCCGAATACAGTTAAACCTGGATATAACAAAATTGATAAATTCCTGGAAGAATAAGTTATAAAGGGAATTTCAGCATATGCAGGTCTGATACAAAAATTCAAAAAAATAAATGCACAAATTGAACAAATGTGGAACTGAAGGCAGAGCTAACCAAAACATATATTTAGCGGAAAAAAAACTGCGTAAACAACCAGCCCAAATTAAGATGCCAAAACTGCGTTATTATTGCAATAGCAATTATATGAACACTCTCGCTGGTTTCTGCCGTCGCTGCCATGTTTCGTAACAAGTCCAAATTGATAGCATGCCCCCTTGCATCATAACTTTTACGAGCGGGTAAAAACGTGCGAGTGCTACTGAAGCAGAGATCAAATGAGCCAGCCCATCCCTACCGCCTGGAGGGCGCATACGATAACATCCCCCGTGTGTTAGAACTGCCGTCGAATGCCAAAACAAAAGAAAACCAGCCATCTAGAAAGAGCAGGAAAAAATGCGAGGGGTGGTGTCGCTCGAGCAGCAACGGTGAACTTTGGTTCTAAGGGTGCGGTTGCGATCGCTGGCCCGCATGCTATCTCAGCAAGCATCAGTGCGCTTTCAACGTGAAAGACTGTGAAAAGACCACTTCTCCATGAAGCAGCTGTATTTGCTTACACCAACGTTCTGTAGGAGTTACGTGATATCGGATCCAGAAAAGTTGGCTGCCACTCTTACTTTGTATAACATTGCAATATCTCATCGCATTCATTGCATTGCATTCAACGTGCCGCTGCGTTGTTGCCCGAGCTAATCGCTAATCGCGAACAGATTAAGCCCCATTGCCTGCCGCGCGCACACCCGTGAGCGCTTGCTCTCACCTGTGAGTCACCGGGGCCACGAACGCGTCGCCATCACTTCGCACTTCGTTGGCAGTGGGATAACCGCGGAGGATGCATGCTTGCGCCAAAATAAAAAATCCAGGGCGAAATTCCCAATCATCTGTGGCGAAAATTCGTTATATCAAGGATGTCTCCTGCTGTTACTTTGTTACATAGAATTCGCAAATTTGCTTCAAGGAAGTAACGGCGGGAAATAGAATAACTTCGTTATATAGAAGAATTCGATATACGGAAGTTCATTATAAGTAGGTTTAACTGTATGCCGAACGTCAAGCGAGGCAAAAGTGCCCAGGAAGTTTCCTGACCCACCCGCAGCGCTTCCTGACCCACCCGAGGCGGCCAATCAGGGCCTCTTTTACTGTCATGCGAACGTTCGAGTTATCTCCCTGCATTTTTCGTTCGTTGTGTTTCGCACCGTGTGCCTGTACCATGATGACTATAATGAAGAAGCAGAATTTGCCTATCGCCGTGAAGCTTGAAAATATAAATCCAGTCGAACGTGGTGAGAAGAAGCCAGACGTCGCAATTGCGTACATGATTCCAAGGAGTAGTCAGCACGATCTTGAAGAATGACGCTGAGATAAGGAATAAAGAGGACAGAAGACCCGGTGCCCGTGGTGCCCGACAGCAATGTACGGCCGTGTATGAAGACGTTGAGGCAGCCAAGTGGTTTGTTGAAGTTAGGTTCCGCAAGCACCCTGTGTCCGACCCCATGATCGAACAAAAAAGCAAAGGACATGTCTTTTCTCCACGGCAGGAAGGATTTTTAAGGTGGCTCCAGTAGCCTACAGCGATTCAAGGAAAGGCACGAGATTGTCGGCAATGCGCCTACTGGTGGAAGCCATTTCTGGAAGCTACAGAAAGATCTACAGTCGACGAGCTTGTTAGTGCAGATGATGATGTCGTGACCTCGGGTGAGCTCGAAAACAAAGACTACATTGCCAACATCGTACCAAGCACAAGTGAAAGCGGGTACAATGAGCAAAGCAATGACGTTTCTTTGCCCACGTCCTCAGAGGTGGTTTGTGCTCTCGTACTAGTCTGGTGCTTCTGCGCAAACGTGGAAGGTTGCGGCCTCGCCTACTCTTTAGACCATCTTGAGAAAGGCGTGCTGTCAGAGGCAGCGAAGTTGTTAAAACAGAAAAAAGTAAAAGACTATTTCAAGCGCAACTAAGCTAGCTTCATCAATTAAGTGCTTGCATGAATGAATCTAACGCGCACCTTTTTTCCAATTAAGCGAGTTTATAAATCGCATGCGCGTTATAATCGAGTACGAAAAAAAAAAATGAATACGGTCATTCTATTGCCATTGGCATATTCAAAATGGCCGCCCCCTACGTGCGTCCGCATGGCGCGTCGGTTATTTCTGCCTATGTGTTTCCCATGTGCGGCACTTCGTACGTGTGCTGAGGAGTTCGTCATCTTATAGTGCATTAGCATCGACGGCATGGAAGGGCCGACTCCAAAAACTCGAGTGCACCACGGTGCACCCGATGCACCACGGAAATTGGGCCGCGTCTCGGTCGTTCGGAGTTCCCAAAACGTGCGTGCGGGACAGGCGGAAACAAAAGCAGAAGATTGTCGACAGCAAAGCTTCACGCAAAGGCTTCAGTGGACCACAGCAGGGTCGGTTTCCGCAAATTAAAGAGCTGCTCGGCGAGTATGTGCTTGAGCAGCGAGCGACACAGCGGCCCGTGACGACAGAACTGCTCCAAGTGCGGGCTATGCAATTAGCCTTAGAAAAAGGTCTAATGCGGAGCCAGTTTAAAGCGAGCAGGTGCTGGCTAACTAACTTCATGAAGAAGAAAGTCTTTTCCCTCCGAAGGGGAACGGGCATATGCGAAAAGTTTTGCGGATGAGTACGATGAAAATCTTCAGTTTTCAGAAGTTCGTCCTAAACTTGCGGCACAACAATGGCTACCTGCTTGGGCAAATCTGGAATGCCGATCAGACGCCTTTTTACTTCGACATGCCTGGCACCACAACCGTCGATCGAGAAGAAGGGGACGAAGCAAGTTCCCGTGCTGACATCGGTCCACGGTAAAACTACAGTGACGGCAAAGCTCTGTTACACGTCAGATGGGCAGAAGCTTCGCCCGTACCTCATATTTAAATGGAAGACGCTCCCAAAAGGAGTCGTTTTTTCGAGTGGTGTGATCGTGCGGGCCAGAAAGAAAAATGGGTGCGCGTTGCAAATCGATGTCTTACGTTTTTTTTTTTTTTCCGTTGTGGAAATCGGGTGCGCGTTACAATTGAGGGCGCGGTAGAATCGAGTAAATACGGTATGTGTATTTATGACATCAAATTCTTTAGCATGCTTATATCGAATTATGCCCTATATCGAACTGACAGGCGTTTTTTTGCGAGTTCAACATATTTGTGTTTTCCTTAATTTCATGACGATAGAAAAGAGGACGATTCAGAATTACACAAACGATACAATTGCAAAAATACAAGCTAGGCTGGCTCCCTTTCACTTCCCCCTCTGGGAGAGACAGCTTGATCTCAAAACTTCGTGCTCATGCCTCACGCACAGCAGTGAATATGTGCTGCACACGAAGACTCTGAAACACCTTTACAAAGACGAAGCAAAGTTTAGTCATCTAAAGCATGCACGTGCTGCTGCAAAGAAAATTAAAGTTGTCTCATCCTGCTAGCATACCAAGGTGAATGCGACCAATGATGCGCTGAGTGCCCACTCCTTTGGCCACACCTGCCCACCTGGGGTCCACCAGTCGCATGATGGCACACCGCTCGGCACATGCCTGGCTCATGATGGTCGTTTGTGCACCTGCAAAAAATATATTCTCTTCTTACAAAAAACAGTTCCCTCAAGTGCATCAACAGTTTTGGACGGTGCAAGGACCAAATTCAGTCCATGTCATCGTATTGATAAGTTGCCTGTACACCAGTGCAACAAAGTGTATAAAATGCACGATGGTGGTAGGGGAGGCAAACTACTGAGAAAATACATTTCTAGGTTATATTAGAAAGGAGAAAAAACCTTACACAAGATCTTGAGAGCAGGGGCTGGAAGACAAGTCGTGCCGAAGCCTCGAATGAAATCGCTAGCAACAAGGTGTTCATGCTACAAAATATGCCTGGTGGCATTTATTTGTTCATTTATTTGTTAGATACTTTCAAGTCCCGGAGGCACAACGGAAAGACTTGACATAGCAGAGCACTTTTTTTTTCGATTTGTCTTTAGGTGACGAGACTTTAGCAGTATGTGCAAAATGGACTCCCGATAGTTCAATCCCTGGTAATTGAAAGTTCAGTTCAAATAAATCAAAAATTTTTGGCAAAGCTTCAATTTGGACTAGTTTGTACGACATTGAAATGAAGTTGGACTGAGCGAAATGCACAAACAGAAAACGGAGGACAAAGCGGACAAAGCCACTTGTCCTGTCCTCTCTTTCCATCAGTCACTTGTACATTTCGCTCTGCACAACTTCAATTTCAAACTGGCTTCAAGGCACCACCTCATTCAAACTGCTTCACTGTACACATTTAGAAAGTTCTTTTGCCCATTCATGCCAAGAAATATCTGCTGCATACCTGCCAAGTTTAAGAATTCAAAATCTGAGAGATTTCTGCATTTAGCATAAAAGATAGGGGGAGTCGATAATCCTTTTCAATTCTAAGCAAAAAAAAAAACTATTTGACAAAAAAAAGGGGGGCGGGGCAGGAGGGCGTGCTGATTAACCCCGCAAGTGTAAGCATCGGCATTTCGGTCTTAAAGTGACTGAACAGTACCGCAGAGGTATGAACATCAAAGAGAGAGCAAGAATATTCGTATTGCTGAAAATTTCATGTTTCCATACTACAATATAAAACATTTATTACTGTCAAGAGAACTCTTTTGTGGGGCACACGCGAATGGACCAATCATGGAAGGCACAGCTTGCTACCCACCCCTTATTGGTCAGGTTCTGCAGGTTAGTAGGGTCACAACAAATATGCCCAAATATGCGGCTTACACTACTCGAATTCGTTTCAAAATTGACCAAATCACTATTCACTTTGACCTTAAAATTTACTATCTCCACAAGCCTACTAGGTATACAATACACTTAATTCTAGCTTCATTCAGTACCAGGCTGTTTGCTTTGTACCACTCGTAGCTTCCAGTGAAACATGCTTTCTTCAGCTTGGATAAAAAATACTGTGCAATCATCGCCATAAATTATGAACTGACAAGTGGTGTTTCATTCTATTATATCATTTATGCAAAAAAGGAAAGAACATGCCCTAAAATGTTGCTCTGTAGCACTCCTGAAACAATTTACCTCAAGCATAATCTGTATGTGCCTATTTCAGCGTACTGAAGTCAACCTAGGTAAGAGCGATGAAATTGTGACACAACTACCTGAAACATATAATGTTTCATCTTCAAGAAACTAGCATGACTGACACAACTGAAAGCTTTACTAACATCAAGATACAATCCTACTGCCTACTACTTACTATACTTACAATATGCTATGTTTTCTCATATGATCTTTTTCTGAGGGACAGGCTCTCTCTCCGAGGAACAGTTGTATTGCGATAGTAATTATATGGACACTCTCGGCTGGATTTCGCCACTGGCATCGACGTCGGCGTCATGCACCGTATATATTACGTATCTACATATATGAAAACGCAAGAAAGAAAAAAATCCCAGAAAGAAGACTCCGGGATGCGGAATCGAACGTGGGACCTCCGCGTCGTGAATGTGAGGCGTTGACCACTGAGTCACTGAGAGGTACCTCCTTCAACGTTCAAACCGCAAGCTATTCATATCTACCACTTACCGCTGTTGGCGGGCATCACAGGGGGGGGGGGGGATATCGTGTTTTTAGCAATATCAGCAAGATGGCACAACAGTGAGCACGCGGCTGCTCTCATCTCTCACGCATACTTTGGCCCGCATAGAGAATAAGGGGGTGTACGCTCGATCGCACGCCCTTATTTTGCAGTGGGGAGAATTGTACGTCTTGGGTAGCATTTGAGTTTCGGCAGAACGATTCTGTTGTAGTTACCAGGCGCACAAGGGTGACTGCAATCGTTGCACAGCCTCCGTTCACTTTCCAGACACACCGAAGTAACAACTGAGATGCTTATTGGCGTTAATCTGTACTTGTGAGTACGTTTCATGCGTCCTTTGTGCTTGAGAAACATGGAGCAAGTTTCAATCTGCTTGTCATTCTGCGCGTGACCTTCCAATCTGTTGCTTGCCTTCATTGCTTCGCCTTTGTGGCAAAGCTAAGACTTTTTTTTTAATAAATCCAAGCTGACAGGTAGTTGCGAGACTGAATCTTGTACTAAAGCACACAATCTTGCGAAAGAACTGGCAGTACTGCAGGTAGGAAGCAGCTGAAAAAACCATTTCAATGTGAATGCATTTCTCAGTCGGGCTATGTCAGGCGTCCAGCGACGTTTGTGCGCCAGCAGGTGTTATCTCTTCTCTCTCACTCCCTCTCCCTTAGCAAAAGCTGCGGGCGCACACACTTATCCGCACCCCTAGCAACAGGAGCACATGGTGTGGGCGGAGTAGCGGAGAGTGAGTGGAGAGGAGGAGCATGCTCTGGCGTGTGAAGGCGCTTGCATTGCAGGAGCTTGGTGGAGCTCCCGCATGTGAAGAGAGAGCGTAGGATAAGGGTAGGTGCAGAGCTTTGCTCCTCCTTCTCTCGCCGTTCACTCTCTCTCCTCCCTGCGCCTTACTCTCCGGTCCGCTCGCTTGTACGTATAAATAAATTGAGTGAAGCGTACACCTTGCTCTCGACCGTTCGCTGGTTGATGAATGTGTCAACAAATCGTTACGGTACAAATCCTCATATCGTCATTAATTTATGCAATTAAAATTACTATGCTGTGTACTCTCAGCGCAAGAAATTTATTCGCATTTCCTCACATTTCCTTTCAGAGAGGCGGGGGCAATTTTCATCACCTACTTTATGAATTATTGTGACTCTAGAAGTTAGAAAAATGTGTAATTTTGTTATTGCTCAATAAATTCAGTAGACAATCTAAGAAAAATTGTAAAAAATATTTTCTCGTGGCTATGAAGTGACGAAAAAATCATTTTTGTTGTTACACACACGGGGTATATTCGTAGCAAAATCTTTTAAAAAAACACAGAAATAAGCTCGCCAGGGTAATTTTTCAGTAAAAAATGTTTTTGCTCTAACTAATCTGATCTAGATCATCTCTGATGTCGCTCTATCATCATTAGAGTCTGAACTCATTAATTCTTTGTCTGATGAGCTGAAATCCAATGAATCTGATTCGGCACTTGCGAAATAGCCACATTGAAAGAACTGCTGCTCGACTCCCTCGCAGCAAAGCAACTGGTGTGCACTTCAGTAGCATAAGCCAACTACGTAAGTGAGCGCACGGAAGAGAACTGTGTGGTTGTCCATCTGTCTAGAAAGCCAAACGAGTGAAAAAGCTATCATGATCTTTTATCACCAACAAGACAGAGTCCCCGAGACAGAAAACGCAACCCAGCAGTCTCATTTGTGTAATTTAGCACCACACAGAAATAGATGTGCTCATGCCCTGAGGAGCATATTTGGCTCGCGTGTTGTCAGGAGCCTCTAGTACCAATCGGCAGCGTTTTCTGACCACGCTCAAGAAGTGTTGCAGGGCCCCTTTATGTCATACACACGGCCAGCGCAGAAGGCACAGATTGAAAACGAAACTAGTGTTTGCCGCAACTGCTGCGCAGCAAACCGTGCATGGTCGATATCGTCTTGCTCATCGATAGCGAATACAATCCGAAGGTGCGCAGCTAACACAGCCATAAATTAAAAGCAATAACGCCATAAAATGACAAGAAGCATTATGGCTTTCCTGTCATTCCCCTGTGGCCACGGTAGTGGGGAGCTTCGTCACTTTCAGTTGCAGTTATCAGTTGGCCTTTAGCTAAACTTTGGCACGCTCGTTCGCCTCGTCTGAATATCATTTTCTTCTGTACAACCTACCCTTGCATATAACTGATAACTCCGCCCGCAAACCACGGTAGGAAGAAAAAACTACTCGCATATTGGTGCAAGGCCGCCTTCTTTCCATCGCCGTGAAGCCGTGCCGTAAAGCCAACTTGCGCACCAAAGTTATCGTATAACTAACACCCCGACTTGAGCTTCCAAATTTTTTGTATATTTTAATCACGTTATACGCGAGAAAATACATTCACTCAGTGTTCGGCCAAGTATATCTGAGTTGGCGAGAGTTGAATGCATGCGCTTGCAAGCACCAAAGAATGAGTCATAATCATCAGATCTTACCGAATTTCGTGGTCTAAAAATGAAATTTCGCAACAACGAAATTCCGCGACAACGAATTTTTCCACACACCCAGTAAATTTCGTTGTAGCGGCATTTGACTGCAGTAGGGCTATGCGTGTTGTTGCTCCTTAGGCCTGGAAATAAAGAGTGCCGGGTAGCGCATGTGTTTGTCCTTTGGGTCTGGAAAGTGCCGTATAAACCGGAATATAAGCCGAGATATTTCCAATGAAATAATACGCTAAAGTCGCCCCTCGTCTTATATAGCGGTGTCTAGCCAACAGTGCGACGCTATCTGGCAACGTGTGGCTTGAATGTGCTTGTGAAGCTGGACGCGGCCATATTCGCATTCAAATCCAATCGCAGTCTTTTTTTTTTTTTTTTTCCTCTACGTCTGTTTTCTTTGTGTTTGTGATTTGCTTGCAATCTGTTCTGAGTTTTCGCTCCGCTTGACATTGCACTGCATTTTTAGTGGCCTTTTTTTTCGTTCACTGAATATGTCTAGCGGTGCGAGGAGGCAGTACTCAGCTGCGTTTAAGGTAGATGTTGTTGAGTTCGCAGAAGCGAACAGGAATATGGCTGCTCAGCGCCGCTTTGGTGTATCGGAAAAAAGCGTGCGCTATTGGAGGGCGCAGAAGGGAAAGCTGCAGATGTGCAATCCTCGAAAAATGTCGTTTCGTGGACGAAGTGCCGTTCATCTGCAGCTGGAGGATGAGCTAGCAGGACTTTGTGCGGGAAATTCGTGCGCGCTTGCTGCCAGTGACCGTGGATACCATTCGCAAGAAAGCCCTGGAACTCCGCTCTAGAAGCTAGGCTCACGAGAGAAGAGTTTCGTGCACCGAACTCTTGGGTGCGTCGATTTATGCGATGCAAAGGCTTTTCTCTCCGGCTGCGCACATCCATCTGTCAAAAGTTGCCGGAGGAGTTCGAGGACAAGCTCATAAACTTTCAGCGCTTCGTGAACGGGCTTCGGGAGCAAACACTACATGATGGGGCAGATTGGCAACGCCGATGAGACCCCCGTGTGGTTTGACATGCCTTCGTCGACCACGATCACGCAGCGCGGCGCCAAGGATGTGAAGCTGTCGTCCACTGGCAACGAGCACTCGCACTTCATCGTCATGCTGGTATGCACGGCAGATGGTAGACAGCTTCCGCCCTTCGTCATTTTCAAATGCAAGACAATGCCGAAGGAAGTATGCCCACCCAGTGTTGTCGTTCGCATCAACAAAAAGGGACACACGGACGACGCCATGATGCTCGAATGGATACGAGTGGTGTGGAACTGTCTGCCAGGTGCACTGCTGCGTCTTCGCAGCATGCTGGTGTTGGATTCATTTCATGGCCACTTAACCTACGCAGTGAAACGCGCACTCGGCGACGGGGAAATGGACCTCGCCGTGATACCAGGTGGTATGACGTCTACTCTCCAGCCGCTCGACGTTGTGCTAAACAAGCCGGTCAAGGACCGAGTGCGGCTGGAATACCAAGAGTGGATGTCCGGCGACAACCCCAAGACACCGACGGGCCGCCTACAGAGGCCTCGCTCCGCTTGCGACTGTTTGTGGCTGGGTGCTTTCCGCCTGGCGCTCCTTGCCGGATTCCATGGTGGAAAATGTTTTCAAGAAATGTTGCATCAGCAACTCGCTGGATGGCACTGAAGACGACGCACTGTAGGAGGCGGCCAGCGACAAACTCTCATCTTCATCATCTTCAGAAGACGGTAGTGCTTCGTCGGACGAATAGGAGCAGTTGCGATGGTGGTTGAGGGGAGCTCCGACGATCGGGGTGCGGTGCGCCCAATTCGCAAATAAATGTGGTTCGGCAGTTTTGGGTTGTTTTCCTTTTTTTTCTTTTTCAGTAACCTGAACTTGGGGGGTCGACCTATATCCCCGCTCGACCTATAGTCCGATTTATACGGTAGGACTGCTTTGGCAAGCTGCAGTTCAGCCCGTTGGAAATCAGGCCACCCTTGTAGTCGATGCGCATGGTGCCCCCAGCGTTTCCCTTGGTCATCGGACTCTCTACGGTGTGCCTTGTGGACGAGTCCTTGCACCTAAGCGCTGTGCTAATTTTTTCCTTTCACTATTCGTGAATAAATTAGGTTTGATGAATGTGTTGTACATCTTCTAGCCGATGCTTTTTGTTCGTCTATAATACAAGATGCATGCTTTTTGTGAATGCGCAAATGTATGCCATTGTCAATTGCACAAATGTGCACCCTTCTTTCGGCTGTAAAACTGTTTTTCTTTTTCCTTACCCCTCTACTATAATGGCCACTTGGGCGATGTAGGTAGCATTAATAAATAAATAAACCACCCAAAAAGCGAAGCCGAAACCAGCTGCACCGTATTCAGATGTTCAAGCGAAAGCTGCCGCACCACTTTAGAAAGCAAAAAAACTTAAGAAAGAAACAGAGAGACATGATTGAAAGAGGCGCGCATTCTAAACCAGCTTTACTGTAGACATATTCAGAAGTGCGAGTGAGAGCTGGCACCACTTTACAAAAAAGAAATGAAGAGACATCTGTGCATGGAAAAAATTTCACCCAAACCCGAAGCATAGCAGCACATGCAAAGTGAGAGAAATGATTGCAAAGGGCGTGCTTTTTGTGAAGCAGCACAGTGAATGTGCTCGTTTGAGCAAGCAACAATCAATGCACCGCTTTGAAAAAAAAAAAAAAATGCAAAGGACACAACAGCGCAGGACGAAATTCTTACAATTTCTGAATGATGGCAGCACATGCCAAGCAGAAGAAATGGTTGAAAAAAATGCGTCTTTTAAAATACAGGCCATGCCATATATGTACCACAAAAACCCTTTGGTCCATGTTAGGAAATATCGTACATGTACAGTGAACACTCTCAAAGGGTTAGATATGTGTACAATGGAAAAAGCCATCACCTGAATATTTTGCACACATACACACACACAGTAACATTAGGAATAGCATCATTGCCAATAAAGTTGTTGAGCATCATAATGGTGCTCATTATTAGGCAGCATTAACACGACTCTCTAATTAAGGGACATAATCCACTATGTATAGCGTTTTGGTATGCTTTTCTGCATGACACCAATGTAGATTGTTTCTTTATTTCTTTGTGAAACAACACCCATTGTGTCTACATGCAGTTTGGTTTGTTTGGCTGCTTGTCAGGATGCTAGCTGGTTTAACGTGCAACTGCTACTTGCAGAATAATGCTAATGTTCAGCTAGAAGCAACAGAGGCAGTAGATATTTTCAGATACATATGTACCTGCAAGAAGTACGAATCAAATGAATCTCTGCAAACTTGAATCACGTGCCATTAAAAAAACTGAAAACTAAGATTTGAATTAACGACTCAAAGGCCTTCCAGTCCACTAATATTTGCACATTCTGTTCTTTCAGAGGCTTAATCATCTCGTATATGAATGCACTAACAGTGCTCTTTCAAGGATTATTAATTGATAGGGTCTCATCCCAAAACCACAACATTATTAGGAAAGACACCGCAGTGGAGGGCTCCAGAGATTTTGACCACCTGAGGTTCGTTAACATGCAGTTACATCGAAGCCTTGCACATTACCGCCTCCATCAAAATGCGGCAATAGGGAGTCCCTCTTGCGACCTGTGGATCAGCAGCCAAGCACCATAACCACTAGACCACCAAGGGAGAGGGCAGCAGTGCCTCAGCTGGAGGTATGCCACAGGAGAAACATACCTGAGTCAATGAAGGCCTTGACAGGGTGACCGTTGACTCGGCAGTTGATGTACAGCATTACCACTTGGCCAAAGCTCTCGGGGTGATACTCCATGGCAGCCTCCATGTTGGAATCTATGTTCTGTTGCCTGAAATATGTCCAGCTCAACTTCAACAAAAATAGAAACAAAAAAAATTTTACATAGCAACAGGTTAGCAAATAAGAACTTAGACTTTCCAGCCTCACTTGCACGAGGGCGTGACGGTTTATAGAGCCCAGCTACAGCTTCATACAATGGGGACAAAGGCAGGTCGTGACCAGTGGCCGAATGAGCACTGTGAACAGCTCAAGTTGATAGTGGCCACTGTCAGGTTTGAGACTGGTTTCTGGGCTGAAAGACACGCATAGCAAGCTTTCGCTGAACCTTATGCGCCAGTTACATACCTGCCAAGTTCAAGGATTCTGAATCCGGGAGATATCCGCAGTGGGGGGAGGGGGGGCTGAATTATTTGCTCCTATTTTTTTTTCCGGCACAAAAAAAACTAAGGACAAATAAAAAAAACATCGCAAAAACAAGAAGAGGTGGGGGTGGGGGGGTCTCAATCGCAAGCGCAAACATCAGCGTTGCGGTCGGCTTGGAGTGGCCGAACGCATGAAGGTAGGGTTTCCCACTAAGGTGAGAGTCTCAAAGGGTCAACACAACTAGCAGAATATTTCCTTCAAAACAGATCATGTATGTTTTACTGGGAAACGCGTGAACGGACGGGACGACGCAGCTGGCTGGCACAAAAACGCGGCTCAAGGCTTTGCTCCTTACTAGATTCTTTCGACAGGAACGCCGACACGTGTCTGGCCCCTTTGTTATTGACACTCTAGGCTAGTCTTTTGTCGTCGCCGCCACTGCCATCATTCACCGTATATGTATACTTACCTATATAAACACTTTAGGAAGGAAAAAAAGCCACCCGCACTCGGTGCCCAACTCGTCACAATGCACCGACGCGCGCTTATCTCTGACATGTACTTTGCCCCACGGATGGGCGGGGGGGGGGGGGGGGGGGGAGGGGTTAATGCTTGTGCACGCGCGCTGATCTGTCGGTGGGGAAAATCGTGTGCCTTGGGCTTTTACTGGAACGATTGCGTTAGTTGCCGGGCCTTCAAAGGTATCTTTGGTCTATGCACAAGCCTCATTTGCGAAAAGACTGCGCTTTTAATACAGAGCGAGGTATAACAAGGACACTTGTTAGTTTGTACTCATGCGTACCTGTGATTATTTATCGAGCATTGCTTTTTTTTTGTTTAAACAGCGCGTTACGTGTCGAGCGGTAAACGTTGTCAGTTCGTTCCCGTCTTGTGTGTATTGTTTTCGTGCGTCATTTGTGCGTGAGCAGCGCGCTGCACGTTTCGATCTGCTTGCCGTTCTCAGTGGGACATTCTAAGTTGTTGCTCTCGCATTGATTGCTTCGCCCTTGTGGCGAAGCAGACTTTTTTTTACGTATTTAACGCCTTTAGTCTACTGCTGCGTGCCCTCAGAGCTCGTAGATCGCTATCGCGCCGCCGCGACCACGATGTTGTGCGCGGCTGTTGGGGCAAACAGTAATTTCTTTTTCAATCCCCGTGCGCTTGTCTGCGCACACGCCTTCATAACAAAGCCGTTTTATGCCGTCTGCGATCGTATCTGTCACGGTTTTGTCCGCAGGGTTTGCGGAAAGCAGCATTGCTTTGACTGGTTGAGTGTTGGACGCACGCACACTTTCGGGACTCTGTCAGTTACGTCGTCGCCATGCATGATCACGTCAAAAGCGACCACTGTTTCGTCCACAGCGGTTGTGGAAACGACAATCGCGCACACTGTAGAAGACAGTGCGTGCTCCGGTCGCACGCGTACTTCCAAAGCTCCGAGTACGCTGCTCTCGGCCTTCGTTCGACGATTTCCGTACTAAATTTCGTATCACCTGCCACGATTAGGAAATGTGTTGGGAACATTCGAATTTAGGTCCAAAAGACATAATGGAATGTCGCTGAGGAATTTCACGAATTCGTAGCTGCTGCGGTTTCACATCACTGAGATTCTACTGCACGTTTATATGAACGCCTCTTAAACTCTTTCATAATAAAATGGGGTAGGTTCGAAAAGCCTGGAGTGGATTGAGCAGCTTTTTTGTCAAAGCAGCCAGATCACGCACAAAAATTTCTATTCCCGGGGATTTTCACGACAACCATACAAACGGAAGAAACGGTTCAAATCTGGGAGTCTCCCGGCCAATCTGGGAGACTTGGCAGGTATGCGGTTACTACATAGCTATTTTTGTGGCCATCTGCCAGCTTCGCTCACAAAAGTAAGTGTTTATCAGGTTTTACACAGCATAAAATTTTCAAATCGGCACATGAAATCTCAATCAGGCTGACACAGAGTGCTGATCACAGAGGACACATGCGTAATTTTTTTCTTGTTTATTAAAAGCCTGAAAATTTGTTCAGAAGAGTATACAGAGTGAAAATATCAGGCTTTTACATTACTAGTGTACGTAGAGCTGGGCTTATGGGCATCACTGATGAATGATCTTCTGTGTGCAACAAAATTTACCAGTTAAACAAGTAACCTGTTGATTTATATCTGTGTGTGTTTTGGGAAAATATACTGTTCCTGTATATTTGTACATTTAATAAAGGCTTTCTCATTCATGTTGTTGTCTTTATTGCAGACAAATGTATGTCTCGGATACAAGGGCATAAGGCAGATGTCCTCTGATTGATTTGTGGGGTTTAACGTCCCAAAACCACCATATGATTATGAGAGACGCCATAGTGGAGAGCTCCGGAAATAGCACCACTCAGAGCATACAATATAAAAAGAAATACAATATAACACACTAATAATGCATGTGTAACATTGTTTTTGTACAGAGTAAATGGAGTACATACTTTTACAGTAATAAAAAAGATTCATAACACTACAAATAACGAAACCAGAGAAACATATGACTGCAATATACAGAACTTCTCAATTTTGAGGACAGGATAGAAGGTAAGCTTTGATATATTTTTTTAAAGATTTCAGAGACAAAGATTTCTGCGCAATTTCTACAACATGAGTATGTTTGTTGAGAAGACTGGGAATTAAATATGTGAGTGCTTGCGTTCCATAGGTGGTTTAGACAAGTAGAATTCTATAATGGTCGTGTATTTAAATATGTGAGTGCTTGCATTCCATAGGTGGTTCGGACAAGTGGAATTCTATAATGGTCGTATCTTAATTCATAAGGCACATAGCTACTAAATTGCAGTTCAATATATTTAGAAGGATTAAGCTTAATTTCGTTAAAAACAAAACAGGGTAAATGAAACTCATATAGTTGATTCACCTTTTGAACACAGTGTTCTAAAAAGTATGAACCTGTGTGATCGTTGTATGATAGGTTTTCTACATATCGTATTGCTCTCTTTTGCAATCTTATTAGCCTAACAAGATTAGTTTTATATGTAGACCCCCAAATAATTATGCAGTAGTGAAGGTGTGAATGAATTAGGGTGTAATATAGCTGCCACATTAAAGCTTTTGGAACAAGGTCTCTAAGCTTGTGGAGTACCGCAAGGGACCTTGATATGTTGGCATGAATTTTATTAATGTGATGGGACCAATCTAAGTGTTCTTCAAAAAAGACACCTAAAAACTTGTAGGAAGAAACACGTTCAATTACACTATTTTGCAATGCAAGCTGAAGTTCGAAATTATCTGGTTTGTTACGTGCTTTAAATACAATAACCTTTGTTTTACTAACATTCAGCTTAAGTTTATTTATATGTAAACATACTGCTAATTCTTTTAACCCTGCATTAGCTTGAACACCTATTTTATCTAGTTGCGTGCCAGAGAAAAACACACTGGTATCACTGCGTACAGAATGATTGCAGGAGTTCTTGGGATGGCTATAATATCATTAATATACATAATAAAGAATGTTGGACCTAAAATAGATCCTTGCAGTACGCCATATAATAATTCTTTCAACTGTGATGAGTAGCCATTATAACACGTGTACTGCAGTCTATGCGAAAAATAAGTGCGAATTAATTTTAAGGCTACTCCTTGAATGCCATAAAACGGTAGCTTATAAAGTAAAATATCGTGTTTAATAGAACCAAATGCTTTTTTGAAATCTAAAAAAAAGTCCAACAGTGAATCGCTTTTCATCTATATTATAAAGTATTTTTTCTTTTATGCTGAGTAATGCCGTCTCCGTTGACTTCCCTTGACTAAACCTAAACTGCTCTTTCACAAGGACCTGTCTACTGTCAAAAAATTTACATAGTCTATCTTTTATCAAGTATTCTAACAGTTTAGAAAACAAAGGTAGGACAGATATAGATATATAATTAGAGATGTTGTCATAAGGCCCACCTTTGTGCAAGATAACCACTCTTGCAATTTTCATGCTGTCTGGAAAAACACCCTGATCCAAAGCATCATTACATATGTGCTGTAGTGGGGCACTGATTAAATCGGCAACAGCGATAATTGGTTCAGCCTTGATTTCATCTGCTCCTGCGGCAGTACCTTTATCTAAATTACTCAGGAAAGTGAACACTTCATGCTCACTGCACGGTTTTAAAAATATGGTACTGACGACTGGAGCAGCCATGTACCCATTATTTTCATGCTTTCTATCTTCATTGTGTGACGATTCTCCAGAAGATAGGAAGTGCTCATTAAATTTGTCTGCCAAAGCCCCGCCACTATACTCGACATTATCGAGTGTTAGTTCACTAGGCACATGACAGGTAACCTTGCCCATTGATTCGTGGAGACAATTCCAGATTTGCTTTGGACAGTTTGAGACTGCGGCAAATTTATTCTTGTAATATTCTTTCCGGGCTTTTTTTAATGTCAGAGCCTAACTTATTTCTAATTTTTTTATATTCGTTAAGTAAAACTTGGTCTTTTACATTAATAAATTTGTGAAATAGTTTATCACGTGCCTGAATTTGTATAACTCCCTTGTTACCCATGGCTTTCGAGACTTTTTGTTAGATTTTTTCACCTATAGAGGAAATGCGCTATCATATTTGTCTTTTATTAACTCAACGAAGATATCGTATGCAATACTAGGATTTTTTTCATTGTAAACGTTGCTCCACGAGATGCCTTCGACCATAGAACGAAACGTAGCGAGATTATCTTGGTTATAACTATGGTATAATATTTGTTGTGTTGGTGGTTTTCTTCATTTGCTCATTAGTCTGGGAAAGAAACAAAATATAGGTAGGTGATCGCTTAAATCAAATGTGAGCACTCCTGCTAAAATACTAGACAACTCATGATTTGTGACACAAAGATCTAGAAATGTATCACTCCCCATAGTTATTCTCGGTGACTGGAATACATTAGAGCAGTTAAATGTAATGACCTCAAGAAATAAACCTCTTGGCAAGCTGTTTTTCAAAGGATCAATATTAAAATCTCCAACTAAGATAGCAGGCATATTGAGGGTACATGCATATTCAAGGAGGTCACGCACGAACTGAACCAATTCGACAGTTTCACTTGATGGGGGGGCGGTAAGCACAAGCAACCAGAGTTCCAGAACACTTCACAGCAATAGATTCATAATGAGTACAGACAAGAAAAACGTCTGACAATACCTCGTACTGAAGATTTTCTTTGAAGTACAATGCAACGCCACCACCTTTATGACTTTTTCTGTATACCCCCTCAGATTTGTATCCAAAAAACGGCACATCAGTTTCACTTGTGAACCAAGTTTCCGTGAAAGCGAGTATATCGAATTTGTGATTCAAGGAACGCAAAGCTGTCTGTATTTCAAACTCCTTATTTTTCATGCTTCTAATATTAACGTGAAAAAGCGATATCCTGTCAGTTTCACAAACCAGGGAACTGCGCACCGCTAAATTAAAAGATGAAGCATAGTAGTAAGGCGGCGTGTATTGTGTTGCCATGAAGAAAAAAAAAAGTAAAACAGATAAGAATGACAAGGAAACAGTGGCGATCTTCTAGATTATCTTTTCTAGGTCGGCATCACAAGAAATCTGTATTGTTGGTTCACCGCTGCGCTTGCGCACCAACAGCTTCCCATGGCTGTGCCAGGCGAAGTCATATTGCTTTTCTGTAGCTTTTGCCCTTATCATCCACATAAGCTTTTTGTTCAGCGCCGTCAAACTATCAAGAAAGTACACCGTTGACTTAGACTGCCGCATACCCTGTCTTTTTGCCATCCACTGATCTTTTATTACGTGCGAGGAAAAACGGACCAGTATTGCTGGGGTTTTGCCCCGTTTAGTTGGCAGTCTATGAAGGCCTTCCACGTCTTGTTTAGTTAACTGAGGCAGCTCCAAGTCCTGTGCAATTGCATTGATCATTTGTAACAGATTTTCATTTTCAACCTGCACGAGTCCATGCACTTCCAAATTATTCCTTCGGCTATATTGTTCGAGGCTGTTTATTTGTTGTCGCAATTCCATGACTTCCCGGTCGGCGTTCGCGGTCTGAATATTTTCAACTCTTTTTTTTTAAAGCAACAATCTCATTTGACTGAAGGTTCATTTCTGCTAATACTTTATCGTACTGATCTGAAAGATGCTGAACAGACTTTTCCATACCTTCCACGGTTTCCTTGACCTGGAGAAGGACATCCAGCTTCTGCTTGATTTCCGGCAGTTCATTCAGCTTTTTATTGATTTCTATGAGCATCTTTGCAGAGAGCGACTGTTGGTTTTGTGCTTGCCTTCTTACTTTTGGAGGGCCTCGAGCGGCTAAGATCACACACGTCTGACATTTCCAGCTTTTTTTGGCAGAGTCTGCCATTGCTTTGTAGTTTGGTGTACTCGTACGAGAACAAGCGCCCAAATGATAACCATAATCACACGCTGAACAGATAAGGCACGAACCGTCTTTTGGCAGCAACTGATCACATACCAGGCATATATCGGAAGCAAGATTAGTCATTGCGCGTTAGTCATGTCGCAATGAGAAAGAAGAAACAGATGTACTTAATGAATCTATCAGAAATATGTGTTTCAAACGTGATTCCTCTGTAAATGATGTGTTAGAGACCATAATGTTTCAGAAATAGGCGGTATCTAGCAAAATAAAGAAATCAAACAATAAACAGGCAAAGAAGTCACACTGCAAGAACAAAGTCAGTGAAAAGTGCATTCCAAGCAACGGCAACTCTGGAGCGTTATTCAAGATCTCTCTGGCATACAGCACATCATCACAAAGGTCTTTCTGAAAAGTAAAGCGCCACAAAACTGCAGTTCAATGCCCACGACGTACGCACGCTACATACTTTCAAAAGTGCTGGAGAGGAGAAACAGGCCCAGGGTACCATGGCTGCCACCTTGCAGAAAAGTGACGGATACTTGAGCAATTTAGTTGAGCACATGTGATGCTAGGCAAAGTGGCTCATTTGGCCACCTGTCTATTTCAGCATCGTGGGCGAGTCCCAGAAAGGTTTTCATGCACGCGTAGCTAGCTATGTGAGCACACATGAGCACCATGCTTACAACTTTTCAATGAAGGCTCCCTGGGTGCCCCAGTGATTCCCTCTAGAATTTCGTCAAAAGATGCACTGCCAAGGCAATGATTCCAGCATTTGGACTCCCGTGAAAGTCCGTGAAAAATGTGCCCTGAAAGTCCGTGAAGGTCGTAGGATCGAATCCCAGCTGCGGCGGCTGCATTTTCAATAGAGGTCAAAATGCTGTTGTCCCATGTGCTCAGATTTGAGTGCACGTTAAAAAACCCCAGGTGGTCGACATTTCCAGAGCCCTCCACTACGGCATCTCTCATGGTTTTGGGACGTTAAACCACACATATCAATAAATCAAATCGCTTTAAAATTGACTTGAAATCTGTTGCTAGGTTCTATTAACACTTCACATTTTGTAAACAATGTACACAAGGACGTTTCCAGAAATGCGTTTTTTTTTTCATGAATAAATGAGGGGTATGTAACAACAATAACAATTTTTTGGTCACTCTATGGTCACCCTAAAATAATTACATTTTTCTTTTTTCTGAAATATGTTTACCTGTCATATTTAAATCAGCAATAAAAAATTTTCACCCCCAAGAGGTTAAACTTTAGTATATTGAGGTTCACATTCATTACTTTAACCGTTGCGCTTTCTATAAGCTGATGCTTTTCACTTGAGTTTGAAATAACAAGGTGTGAAAGAATTATTGTTCCATTTTTTTTTGTTTCTGCACTGTATTTTCATGCACAAAGTGGAATGGAGCACGCACATGCTTCTCCCGTAGAAATTTTCCGCCCTTTGTGATCAAAGCGCACAGGGATACGCGATGCATGTTTAGATGCACCCACCTGATTTCTTCTGCAATGAGCCGCTGTGTCTCGGGGTCAAAGGGGTCGGCATTCATCATACGAATACGCTGCCTGTCCCGGTCAGATTTCTCTTTCTGCTGCTCCCGAAGCACTCGTGTAAACAGGTCTGCATGCCAGCCATCAAGATTGCATTGTTTATTACAGATACCATTATCACTAAACTAAGAAATTTTTTATAAAACTTGTAAAAAGAACACAAGAAAATGCAACATGTGATCATAACGACACATATGAGGCTATGTACTTTCTAGAATTTACACCAGTGTCGATGCTTATGCTGGAATGTAAAGCAGTGATTGCATGAAAAAAAGTCCCCCTGCCAATGATCTTTTGAGGACTTTGCGTGCTGCAACCATTACACTTCAAATGTTTGCTGGGTGCAAGTTTACCGAATAATGATTTTGTTCTTTAGTTCGCAGACACTTCATCTCAGCATATTACCATATTTTTGGTGTATAAGATGCACCCTTTTTTCTGGAATTTTCACAAGCGCGTTTCACAGGGATGTATTAAGTTATTAGCGAACGGACTGTCACTTAGTTCATGTGCGGTGCGGAGAAGGAAGGAGCCAAACACAGTAGGTATAGTAAACCCACATGCATTGAGAAATGTTAACAATCTCCCAAGACAATACACACAAGCAAGAGAGATCCCGCACAGGTTTCATTTTGTGGGGGTGCTAACACCCCCTGTAAATTTGTTTGCACCTCGTGGCACATGTGTCTTGCGCAGAGACCGCATTTAGGGGTCATAACTATCTAGCGGTAGGTGACGCTGTTCTCGCGAGCATTTATCACAACCATCATCATCATCGTTAAAAAGGTGGTGCTGGCAGTGACGCCTGGCAGCAAGCCTCGGTGGCAGCACGAGAGAAATGAGCGGGTCTCTTTTGCAGGTGGCGGTTGGTGCCATAGGCCCTCGTGGTGAGTCAAGCGTTAGCGAAGCCACCTTGTGTGTGTTCTTGTGTTTGTTATGTTGTTGAGTGTTGTGTAATATCCTGTAAGATTGTTATAGCATGTGGATCACAATTGATGTATGTTAATTCGGCTGACGATATCATCAATCTAAAATCAGTTAAATAAATGTGTTGTTTTGTTTGTTCGGACAGTGTGTACATGCATCCGTTCACTCCAAGAGCTTGGCACTTCCCTTTGAGACCCCACACTGGCTGCCCAACGTGGAACTCTTGGAGCATCGGACGACAGTTTTCGCAGTTCGGTACAAGCTTTTGTTTGAGTAGGGGAAGAGTAGGCCTAGGGGGGTTTCCAGTGCTAGCATCAGTGGTGTGCTTTGTTGAGAGCGAGGAGATCAGTTATTGTGATGTGTTTCAACTTGTCGGCACGTTGAGTTTTTTTTCTGCTCGCAAGTGGTTTTTTTTTGTTGTTCTTGTTGGTTCAAGAACATTGTTGAGTTGGTACAAGAGCCATGCGGTCTGCATCCTGGGGTGAGCAAAGCTTAGAGCACGTGGATTGTAGATCAAGCCTGAAGCGAGCGAGTACGGAAGACTCATGGGTGGTCCGATTTTCTGTAAATAACTTGCTCCATCTCTCAAGGGCTCAAGGAGTCGGGCGTCGTTGCTGTCTTGTCTTGCGGCTCGACGCAGGGATGTCGTGAAACCCTCCGGGACGGTGGGTGCCGATCGCTCAATAAGCTGCCGAGTGCGGCGAGCGAGTAGGGCCACCTTACAGAGTGGACTTCTCTTTACGGCTGCTTCTTCTGCGCCTAGGCTGGGTGCTGGGTGGATTCCGGTTGCTGTCGAGCGACTCATTAGGCTTAAGGCTCTGCACAGCCACCTGACGCACGTGGCACAACTAGGTGGAATGCGGCGTTGGGGTGTTGCACACTGCTTCTCTGACTATTTTTTTTTTTTATGTTGCGATGCACAAGTTAGGAAAACTGACCTTTAATTTATTTTTACTGGGCGTCTCGGCCACCATCGATGTATTTGCTAGCAGTACTGACCATCGTACCACGTCGGCAAGGAGCCCGAACCTCCCTTCCCTATGCCCTGAGCAAGGACGTCCTTACGTTGATGCCGTTTTCGTAATCTATAAAAGCTCATCTCAAGAAAATAATACCGGCTAAACGTAATGATGACGGTTCGAGAATATGCATAGACAGACTTGACGTCCCTGATATCTGCATGCGTCACTTTACAAATAAATTATTTTACACTATTGAGTGAAGCCAACCGGTTGTGTCATATTCACTGCCAGATAAATCTTTTTTGGAGCTTAAGAAACAGAAATAAAAGCAGAAATTGATTAGAGAGATGATATAGCACAAATCAGGTAACACCCACTCTCCCCTCAATTACAAAGCAATTTCTTTAACCGGGGTGTCCTGCTTCTCGGGCACATCATTTATTCTTACTCCTTATCTTTTCTTTTGAATCTAATTCATTTTTTCCCCTTGTCAACATAGTATGGTATTGTCGTGTCAATGAAAGGACGAATTTCCACATAGAAACTTAACAGCAGTTTATTCAAATAGCAGCAGCACTAGGGAGCATTTTAATGCTACGCTCATCTGAGTAGCGGAGCAATGGTGAGCGCGAACACTTGGCAGCCTGTTTTTATAGCCATATCCAGTGACTTATGCCTCGGGTGATGCTTCGGTGGCGCTGTGGCTTGTCGAGATGCAGTGGAGCATGCAGCCATGTCATGCTAAGCTGAATAATAGCGATGTTTGGGATATGGCATGCAGCCGTGGAAAAAACTCGATTACGTCGAGATAGCTAAAAGAGGCCTTTATTAATTCTTACTGAAGCCATTAAGACACTGCTACTACTGAGATGTCCCCATTTCTTCTCTCGTGTTTGTTCATACTTCTTCGTCCCCTGTGGGGTGGCTCACTGTCGTGATGGAAACTACATTCCCGGTCGCGCAATGAAGTCAATCAAGGAGTTCCAGCGCGTATAGTTTTTGTATGCGCCTTGTCACAATGAGACCTCCTTGCTGTTTTACCTTGCAAAAGCAGACATGCCCATCTGAAATTTTAAAAACCTGAACGATTCTTGCAAGTTTCCACAGTTGTCTAGGTGATATCTCAGAATGCACGATAATGGTGTTGCTTCCTTTAAGTTCGTGGCTCGTTGATTACGTGCCAAATGTGAAGATCGTAATTGCAGCAAATATCTTTTCCACCATCACTTCCGAAAATTCTTGGCTAGAAGTTTTCTGCAGGCATGGCGGCTAATTGTATCTGATCATCCTGAGCTAATCAACTTCAACCATATGATACGACACAGCAGTTAGTCGACATCCGAGCAGTAGGTCGGCTGGAGTCAGCATGCACGGTTTCGCTGCGCCTGTCTCGACAAAGTTTAACAGCCTAGAGCTGAATACTGCTTCTTACCTCTGACATCACTGTCGTTAGTTCTTCGTAGTTGAGGCAAGCTCAACCGAGAATCTTACACAAAGAAGTCATTACCGATCTGACGAGCCGCTCCCATCATCCACCCCACCATGGTGCATTGCGCATGATAAACTTCCAGGGAATACCGTTGGCTGGTGAGATGGTTCACAACATCCTCTTCTTTGAAGATGTTGCATAGGCGTTCTAAATCTGATGCCCTTTTAAAGGTGATCGCGTTATCCAAATGGATAACGAGAGCAGTCCCCTTTGGTTACAAACCATCGCGAGCATAAGGTGAATGTTTCATCTGTCATGCTGGAGGCAAGCTCAAGGTGAATTGCTCGTAAAACAGCACAGGTTAAAAGTGCCACATAACACTTGGCATCGCCTTCTTGCGTGCATGCTAAGAGTGGGCCAGCAAAATCTATACCAGCAACCTCAAAAGGGTTTGTTGGCTTTATCCGGTGACTCGGCAAAGGCGCTGTCGGAGCACTTCCTGGTCTGGAGGTGAATCATATGCACATGTTGCAGCTATGTATAACCTTTTTCACAAAAATACATGTGCGACAAATCCAGTAGCACTCTCGGAGCTGAGCAAGTGTCTCTCATACATAGGACTTGCTCATGTGCACTGATGACAACCAGAGCAGAGTATTGAATATTTGACTCCTGGTGGTGAATTCAGGAGTGACAAGTGGCCACAGAACCTGAGAATTATGCCAGCGTCTATAAATGAGCGAAGGTCAGCAATACGGGACGTGGGTTCCAGCATTTGCCCACGTGTCCGGCAGCTGAGTTCTGAAATAAATTCTTGGTCTTGGAGTCAATCACAGGGCTCAGCTCGTTGCTATCAGGTGACTAGTTTTTTTCTGTTTTGCATCGGCAGTGGTCTGTAAATCAAAACTTGAACTGCTGCTACCTCGCTTCTGGTAGCTTCACCAATGTCAGGTGAAATTGTAGGTTGAAGAGGCCCCATGTCTCCTCGTATCCACGACGGTACAATCGTGGAGTCTGTTCGCATAGTGTATTCAATATAAACGCCGTTGAGTGCACTGCTCATGTATGTCAGCAGTCTTGCACCAACCAGAGCACCTAACAAGGTGCTTGATTGGGCTGGTTGGTGCTGCATGGTAGACGGAGAAAGTGCTTAACAGCGCAAACGACAGGAAAGGATAGAAGAGAACATCTCGTCTCTTCCATCTCCTCCTGTCGTTTGCGCTGTTAAGCACTTTCTTCGTCTACCAATGCGCCTAAAAGCTCCAGGCGTGATAGCATTGTTTTCTTAATGGGAGCCACCCGTGCCTTGGAGACCAGCAAGATGAGTCGTTCAGCCATAGCAGTGACGGTGTAGATTACGGCTCCGTATGCTGCTGGGCTGGTATCGCAGAAGATGTGCAGTTGCATTTCACTTGGCAGCTTACACCGTCAGCCAATATTTCCTGCAGTTGCGGAATCTGCCAAACTAGGTTTTGCCATTCCTGTCACAGGTCATCAGGTTCCTGTCACAGGCTCATGAGACCAGCAAGATGAGTCGTTCAGCCATAGCAGTGACGGTGTAGATTACGGCTCCGTATGCTGCTGGGCTGGTATCGCAGAAGATGTGCAGTTGCATTTCACTTGGCAGCTTACACCGTCAGCCAATATTTTCTGCAGTTGCGGAATCTGCCAAACTAGGTTTTGCCATTCCTGTCACAGGTCATCAGGTTCCTGTCACAGGCTCATCCCAGCTTATTCCCCATGTCCACAGTT